TCACTTCCCAATGGGGCCTCAAAAATTAAAAATATTAGTATTATGGATAATTAGATTTAGAAAATGAAAGACTTCCACCGGAAGAGCAATCGAGCACTCTGCAATTCCGTTCCCAAGACCGCAAAACAATCATTAATCCAAATGCCTGAATCCTTCCAATTCCCAAATTCTAATACGTAGCATCTGAAAAACCAAAGCATTCTAAGAGGAATAAGGAACCGCTGGTGCACAAACGCGGCAACGCCATCCGGCGAGCGCAAACGGCACAACCTCTGAATTGTCCACCGCCTTATGCTCTTTATCACTTTGCCCGAGTCTAGTTATCTCATTAGTCTTATTCTCTGGATATGTGCGACTTCTGATTGTTTAACAAGGGTTAAGCTGAGAAGGAATATACGAAGCATTAATTACCTTTTAAGGAAATAGAATGAGGGTCATGCGTGTCTCTGGCTGTTTGCATCTTAAAAGAAAGGACTTGAGGTATGACCAATGATTAACGCTTATTGAGTTAATATATACTACGTATAATACTTAATATTGACATATTGGGGTTGTTCCTTGTTGGTAATTTAAGTAATTTGATATATTGGTACATTAAGTAATATTGACATATTGAGAGCAGTGTTCTAAAAGACGTGAGGCGCGTCAAGGCGGCACGACCAAGCCTCAAGTCTTAGAAGCCTAGGCGGGTGTATGCGAGGCCTAGGCGTGAAAAGGCGTTTGTAATTTTTACTCATTATTTTAATATTTCTAGAGCAATTAGTAAGTATGTAAATGTGATATGTGATACTATCATACAAATGACATCATATTTTGAATTTTCCGAAAAAAATAAAATACAAACGGTTATAAGAATCACAAATACTCATATAGGCATATAGCCACAAAGGCTCGAAATTAGTTGAATGATAAATAATAGAAATAAAACTTTATAGTATTAATATAGCAAGTTTTTTTTTTAAATATATCACTTATAAGAAACTTATTTGTCAAAATAATTTTATTATAGTATAATGTCGTGGTCACTTACACATAAATTTGAACATAAGTTACTATGATTAAAATTGATACACTTAAAAGATCATTTTTTATAAACAATCTTTTTAGTTATTACTCCTAATATATAATTCTTTCTAATAATAATTGAAAGAATAGTCAATTACAATTTATATAGTCTTGAGCAAGTTTAATCGTTTGTTGGTTAGACAATGTTATACCAAAGTCATAATGTGTCCAAGTTTGCAGGAGAAGGTTTTCACCTTCTTTTTGTTTCTTCCGTATTTCCAAAATCCCACACCGGTTGAAGTGGACAAACTCTCCACCCTATGTACGTATAAATAAGAGCTCCTTTCACAATTTCAACTTGGCAGCGAATTTCATTGCGACGAACGGCTGCTTATGGGCTTAGTTAACTTTTAGGGCTCGTCTTTTCTGGGCCGATTTTTGCCATGCGCGAAGCAGAAATAAAACGGCTTGAGAAAAACTTCAGTTTCTTTGAACTTTAAGTTAAAATAATATTATTAAGACGCCTTTTTCAAAGCATAATGGGAAGCGGGGCGTTTTGATGGCGCCTCAAGCTTAAGCGCGCCCAGGCGGCGCTTTATGAAGTGTTTTAGAACACTGATTGAGAGTATAAATACTTGAAGTGTAGCTTGTAAAATATTGAAGTAGTAAACTATGTATTTTGTGTATTTATGAGATTGTCACTAATGACTTCATTTGTGAAATTTGGTTTTTTTGTTGACTCGGTTGTTTTTTTATTTTAGGTGTTGTCATGAAATTACAATGATATGGAGCCCGTTTGGTAGCACGAAATTTGGTTGTTTTGGCTGATTCTGTTGGAATTTATGAAGTTCTGGCAGAAGTGGCTGCATTGGATGATTCTGCTGATTTAAGAAAAAATTATTTTTAAAATATATTTTATTAATAAAATAAAGAAAAAAATTATATGTCAAAATAGCTAAAATGATCATCTATAGTAACTTCAGCTAATACAACCAGAAAAGTAACTCCAACCTTATTTTTTTTGCTTATTACACAATTCAGCGCGCGAAAGTAAAAATTGCGTGTTTGGTGAAAAAATTGGTTAATAAGCCGAAAAACAGTTTTGTCAAATTGTTCATGGTCTGTTAATATTAAGTATTTTTTGTCTGGGGCCTCCAAAATGCTAAAGACGCCCCTGGATGTTAACTAATTGTCATCTTAGCAACACTCCCCAACATTAATATATAGATAGATTAAGAGAATAATTTTTTTTTTCAAGAAGATATATTTTATTTGTTGTAAAAACCGGACCGGAGAGTGACCCGGCCACATGACTGGGTCACGGGTCAATCCGGACCCGGTGGGTCAACCCGGTCAACGCCGGAAAACCGGTCAATGATTATACATCTATATAATAATAGTAAACATATAATTATATATAAAATTATAATAAAAATTAGTTATTATTCATAATAATCAACTAACAATACTACTTATTAAGCATTTAATACACTCTTATAATATTTCAATGTATATTTGTTAGGTCCCTGTTTTCTAGTCTATAATATGTATGTATGGAAGATAGATCTGGGAATGAAGCTTTCCATTGAATGATGAAGAAGTTTACAGAATGATGAACAATTTAGCGTAAAACTTCTATCACGAGAATAGGCACTGCGGCACAGAGAATGTTGAAAAGCTTAACCTAGCCTTTCCCTTAAGGCATATATATAGCCTGACGGGAAAGGTAGGTTTTACAATCATTTTGGGCTCCTTTTCCTAGGAGGCCCATACCTAAAAAGGTATAAAACCTTTATTACAAAATTGCCTTAAAAGGCCTATTCATTATTCTAGCTAACTATAAACTAGCAAAGTAACATTGATCACAATTACAATGAAAATATCTCTAACAATATTTTGATCTTATAAAAATATATAATGATATTATTATTGTACATCTATATTATAATTTGGCATGATGTTCATTCTTAAATAAATATATAAATATATTACGTAGTTTTTCTTTTTAATGTATTGAAATTGCAATTTTATTGGTATAAAAAATGCATTAAAAATAAAAAAGAAATTACTTTTTTTGGTAAAAACACCCAAAAACTGGGTTTTACCGGGTTTTTCGGGTTTCTTGGGTCCGGGTCTTGACCGGGTTTTCCCGGGTCAGACGAGTTTTTTCGGTTTTTGGCCATTTCCGGGTTTGGAAAAAACCGAACCGGTTTTTTGTCCGGGTCACCGGGTTCCGGGTCAACCCGGCCGGGTCGGGTCGGTTTTTTAAACATAGAAAAAAGCCAGAAAGAGTACATAAGGGAAAAGGATAAAAAAAAACGAAAAGAACAAAAAGTCCAAATATTACCCAACCCAAAGACCTTTATCCCCAAAAACCCCCAACTCCCCAACTTTAATTAAGAGAATAATTAATATTCAAGGGAAGAAGTTAAGAAAATAACTCACAACTTTAATAATCAACAAGCTTCAAGAGCAACACCAAGAAATGGAAGTTTAGCTCCTCATTTGGAGACTAAACATGCTATAAAAATATAAAAGAAATACTATTCTAAACTGAGCTTAAGAGTATGGAAGAAGGAGTGATTTTATTGTGAAGGAAAAGGGGTGTATTTATAGGTGTTTGGAGGTGGCAGAGTTGTGTACCCGATCGGGTATATAGGGTACCTGATCGGGTATTTTAGGCAGTTTCCCGGAAAATCACTTTTCTAGACATACCCGGTCGGGTATGTAGGCATACCCGGTCGGGTATGAGCCAAAAAGTCAAAATCCTGCACGTTCTTTTGTCTCTCCAGATTCTGATTTTGACACCCGAATCAACTCAATACCCGATCGGGTAATGCCTATACCCGACCGGGTATATGAAATATTTTTTCAATCTTCTTTTTATCTTGTCCCCTTGCACTTTCCTTGATCTTTTGGGGTCCAAACTTGATCCTTTGGATGATCTTGACCTGTTTTAAGCTCAGAATAATCCTAATCTAAACAAATTACATCTATCTAAGAAAATTAACTAATTACACCAAAAGTGTGTAATTTTCCAAAACAACAAATAAAACTAGTTAAAATAGAAATAATACATAATAAAAATACAACTCTATCACTATGTAATGTTGAGGAGAGATTAATGAGAATGAGAGGGCTTGGACATTAGCCTAAAAAGTCCCGTGGTTTTCTTCCTTTCGGGTTTCCACGTAAAAAGAGCTTGTTCATACACATTTATACATATATTTAGGGAAAAGGGGCAAATAAGGCCACGTACTAACCAAAAAAGGTCAAATAAGGCCTTAATTAGGAGGCTCTGCCCGGCCGTCGCCATTTGGGGTGCTTCCCGGTGGAATTTTTTGATGAAAATTTTTGAGCATCTTATTCATTAAGTCTAGTTTACGCATACCAAATTTCAGCTAAAACTTCAATCGGGAAGGCATCCAAATGAATTCTTGAAGATAACTGCGAAGTTAAAAGTGCAGTTATCTTCAAGAATTCATTTGAACGCCTTCCCGATTGAATTGTTAGCTGAAATTTGGTATGAGTAAACTAGACTTAATGTATAAGATGCTCAAAACATTTCATTAAAAAATTCCACCGGGAACCACCCCAAATAGCGACGGCCGGACAAAGTCTACTAAATAAGGCCTTATTTGACCTTTTTTGATTAGTATGTGGCCTTATTTGCCCCTTTTCTCCATATATTTACTACTACCTCCGTCCCATATTTATCTTCATAGTTCGGTTTACGATGCTTGACTGACGATAAAGCAACTCGATCCCTGTTCACACTCGGATTATTTTTAGTAAATAAAATTTACATATTCAGAAACTACATTAAAACCGCTACAAAGCCTGATCAAGAAAATTTAAATTTGACAAAAATTTGATATATAAAGTAAAAGATTAAGAGTAATTTGAGTTGACCATGTGAATAGTAACTATGAAGATAATTTTGGGACGGAGGGAGTATATCGTGTTGGATTAAACTCAACAACTATCAAGTTAATAATAATTACACAATTTCACTTTGAAAGAATGGCAATAATATTACAAAAGACCTCTCAATAAAACTAAACCCAATTCTCCAAGGGTTGTCCAAACGCCCAGGTCTCATCCCTCAGCCACCTTCTTCTCTCTTCTTTCCGTACAGGCACCCAATGCAGCCAGTCGAATCCCGCCGGAAGTAGACCTCATCTGGAGCCACATGTATGCCATCATTGTTGTCACAACATGTTCCTCTTCCTATTCTTCTTCTCCTTCTACACAAACCGGTAGCGTATGGAGAGTGGGCAATGACGATGTCGAATAAACGACGATGCGGATGTGGAGAGCGGACTTGGAGCAGTAGGCGGAGTTGGGGTAGGGGCAGTGCACAGGGTAGTGTTGGTCTTCAGAGATGGCAGATTGTGGGGCCACATGATAGGGTCATTGTCACGCCCCAGATCGCAATCCAAGCGCGTGTACAACCGCCGTATAACCAAGTGACGTCACCCGCGAGTCAACCTCACTTAATTACACAAGGCGTTCGAGAAAATAATCCATCCATACTCAGTAGTAAACATACATAACAACATCACATTTAAACCAATGAATAGCGGAAATATTCAACGATAAGTCATAAGCCACAGCCGGCCAACAACATGGGCATGCAAGCCCCAAAAATAGTTTATAGTAGAACAAATATCCATGAGCAAGTGTTCGGTAGTTTGAAAGAAAATAAGGAAGCACGAACCACGTCTTCCTGAAGTTGATATCACCCGTAAGAAGGTGCAAGTAGCAAGCCCTAGCTTCAACCTGAAAATGGTGGGGCCCCCCGAAGGGGTCCGTACAAGTACCGAGCGAGTAGCAGGCTAAATATAGAATAACTAGCGTTTCAAGTATAAGACCCAAACATAGGGTGATACTTATATAAATAGTCTTTCCCCCAAGTTATGAAATACTTATTAGTATATATATACTTGGAAAATATCCGATCCGTAGATCACCGTTTTATTTGGGAAAAATAGTAATAGTCAATATTCTTGACTAAAAACCCCAACCCACCCATATACCTATGAGTGTATAGGACTCCTCTTTGTTCCTATTTCAATATCATAATCTATGAGTTTTGAGGATCATAATCCCTGGGTACTCCACCAATTTGTTTTTCGAGTGTTAAGGACTCATAAGTCCTAGGGTCCTCCACCAAGTTTTGAGTGTTAAGTACTTTTAAGTACTAGGGTCCTCCACCAAATTTTGAGTGTTAAGGACTTTTAAGTCCTAGGGTCCTCCACCAAGTTTTGAGTGTTAAGTACTTTTAAGTACTAGGGTCCTCCACCAAATTTTGAGTGTTAAGTACTTTTAAGTACTAGGGTCCTCCACCAAATTTTGAGTGTTAAGTACTTTTAAGTACTAGGGTCCTCCACCAAATTTTGAGTGTTAAGGACTTATAAGTCCTAGGGTCCTCCACCAAGTTTTGAGTGTTAAGTACTTTTAAGTACTAGGGTCCTCCACCAAATTTTGAGTGTTAAGTACTTTTAAGTACTAGGGTCCTCCACCAAATTTTCCTATGATCAACCTCCTATCAACCTAGATAGAGTCTATATCATACTTGGTCATTCATAACTAATTCAATACATAAAGCTTATGTATCGCAATCCATGCAAAGCCATGCAATTATCTAAATGTATAATTAACTAATATCAACCGATATTAATTAATCCATTATCCATCGGTCAACGTTGTCGTTGACCGCCATACAAGCCTTGTACATATCAACTTAATCATCATATAATTAAGTTAATAATATTCATTTGTACTTCTTTTACATTCAAGCAAATATGCATTTTATGTAATTTCTCATATCATATTTCATGCATAAGCAATTAATTCCTTTCATACACTTTTAACTATGTTGGCTAATCACATGTTTAAATATCTTTTAAACATCATTATGAACACATATAATATTTATTTAGGTAATCTTATAATCAACCCAAAAGTTATAAGATATTAAGCCGTCCACTCACCTTGAAACTAGCGTTATGAAGTTCTACCCTTCTTGGTTGAACTCCGGTGAAACTCCGGCGACTTTTGGTCAACTCCGGCGACAACTCCGACGACTTTTCCAACTTTGTGAAATCACTTGAAATACTCTTTACAAGTGCCTAACAAGGTTTTATAGTCATAAAACCCATATTAATACGAATAACCTCAAAAAGGTTATTTTCCGGTGAACCAGTAGTTTTGGCCTCTAAGTCCGTTTTTGGGACTTAGAACCATCTTCCAACCCATTGTTCAACACTTATATCATGTAGAACAATACTAAGGGTACCTCATATGATATATACCTCATATGGTAGAAGAAAAATAAAGGAAAAGTTATAATAAGGTCATTACCTTAATTTTACACACTTTTCCTAGCCTTTTTCCTTCTTTAATCCCACTCCTTGGACCCTTCTTGGTTGAGCTCGAGTTGCAGCAATGGAGGAGGGTTGGAGAGCTTTTTCTTTCTCTTTCTTGGGTAGCTTGGTCGAGTACAATGAGGAGGAAGGAGGGGGATGGGTTCCTTTTTGTCTCATTTAGCTAATAAGTGAGAGAGGGACCCCTTTGGTGTCTCTCAATGTCTCACCCTCCCATCATGTGTACTATTGGCCTTCCTTTGGTCAATTTGAGCACACAAAAACGTGGGGTGGCCCCCACTCATGTGGGAGGTCATCCCTTTGTGTCCCGGTGTGTACAATCGGTTCCGAAAGTTGTATTTTTCGGACTGTTTTAATCATATTTTATTTTATCGGGTAAAATAAAATATATTATGTGTTCTCAATCATAATTCCCTTTTGAAATAATATATATTCCAAGACTTTACTTTAGAAGTCTCCGAAATTCATTTTCGGGCTGTTATCTAATAAATTGTCGGTACCGGTAATTGGCCCTCTTTTGACCAATCGGTCAACCCCAGGCCTTCCCATGGCCCAAATAAAATATCCACCACCATACAAATATTACCTTTACCAAGATGAATAAAATATGTGGTTTCGAAAACGTAGGGTGGCCCCCGCTCCCGATGTGGGTCCCACGTGCAAATTAACTATTCACGCGAAAGAAATAATAAAAATTTACAACTTCGTAAATTCATTAATCCTTTAATAAGGTTCAATACATTATTTACATAAAAGTAAATATATTTGGGGACGGTGTTACAGTCATTGGGGCCGGGGCCGAGGGCTGTTGGCTGGTGGCTAGAGTTATGACTGTGGTGGTGGGTTGGAGGTTGGAGACTAATGACTAGGGGTTGTTTGCTATTGATCGTGTCTGATGGCGGTGAGGTCACTGTGTCAGAGTCACTGTAGCTGATCAGTGTGGTCGAAGTCATTGTGTCATTGTGATCGGCGGCGGTCATTATAGGTGACTAAGATTAATTTCGTAAACTTAATGCTTATTGTTCACGTTTTTAGAAACTAAAGAAAAATGTCATTCTTTATTTATTGTTCGCTTTTTAATAATATTCAAGTTAAACCCCCTTTCATTTTTCTTAATAATCTCACTAGTAACTGCATCAAGTGGGTAGTGCAACCAATTTTTTAGGAGCGAGAGAACCCTAGCGGCGAGAAGTAGAATGGCGCTATCTTCCAATACGTTTCGATAGTTCGCGGCCAAGGAGGGAGGATTCGTCGTCTTTGGCCTTACTCTTCTCCTGCAGCAGTGATCCAAACTATCTGATGGTGATACTAACGCTCAAAGATTCTCGGTATAGGTATGATCCAATTGGATTGCTCTTCTTTTCTGGTTGTGTTGATTTTGTTCTATGGGAGTTTTTTCCGGGGCACTGGTGCTCTCGGCTGTTTTGTCCCTCTCGATGTGGGGAGTTCTGTTGGTGTCCCGACTAGCTTCGTCTGGTTAGAGATTTTTGTCTGTCTTCTTTTAGAGTGCGTAGACATTGGTAGAACTCGTTCTCCTCCAGAACCACCTCCGTGCAATGAAGAGTTTTAATATTATTTTTCATTAGTAGTAGTAGTTTTTTTTTTTAGTTTGAGTAGGTTTGGTTTGAAAAATTATACTTCTGGTGTTCGTTTGATAGACAGACAGTATTTCAGTCACGATTGTTTCAGGCGTTAAATTGCTCGTTTCGTGTCTAGCGAATCATGTTACTTTGTATAAGTTGGTTGATTCTAGAAAAAATGGCCTGGTTATTACTAATGGGCTTTTGATTTCTAAATTTACGACTCCTTTCATTTTTTTCAAAAAAGTGACCCGGCTTACCTTTCTTCATTTGACGCATGCCTTCACTTTCTTCATTAGACGCACATCGAACGCCAGAGCTACCATGGACGGAAGAAAATCGATCTTCCTTCTCTTCATCTTTGCAGTCGGCCACCGCATCGTACTGTTGGGTTTCGGGCAGAAAACGCAGCGGAATAAACAAAAATTTTACTACCCAAAAGTAAACGAACGGACCTGAGGTTCTTATTATAAACGAAATTACAAGAATTTAAGAGGGACTTACATAGCAATCTTAATCAAGGATGTCAGACAGTCCGAGAAAACGATCCCGAGCTCTACCGGTATCCACACGCACGTGACTGGATCGGCCGCAGGGAACGTGCTAGCGTTCTCTTCTTTCTTCCTCTCCACTCTAGGTTTAAGAAGTGAATTTTAACTCTTAAAATTCGTGGGTCTCCTTAGCCCTATTTATAAGAGGTGGAAAGAAGGGGTTTTATGGCTAATAAAACCCTTAAAGAGGCCCTAGCCCAATACCATTCGAAAACCTCTTTCGAATTGGGCTAATCAAGCTATTTTAATGTTATTAACAAACATTAATGATCCAAATCACTTAGGTGTGTGACCCTGTAGGTTTATATATTATTGGCAGTGGGCTAGAAATTAATTCAAGCCTCACAAATCATAAGCGGTCTCTAGCAAGACATTATGACTATCCAAAATATATAAATGTCAATTAAATCTGACATAACCTTTTAATGATTAATTTGTGCTAACAATTCTCTTTTGTCAAACGATATCTTAATTGAGACAAGGTTAGGTCGTGTCATCCTTGTTATTCTCAATTAATATTTCTTGATTACCAAGTAAGATTAATCTTGATCAAATGACACCTCATTTGAGCATGGCCATGCTAATTAATCTTACTTGTCAAGGGGCCCAATAGATATCTTTCTCTCGATGTACAAGAGTGACAAAAACTATCTTGATAATTCACATACTGCTACATGGTTCATAATATGTATAATCACCACCTTTATAATTATCCAGTTAAAGATAACATTTAATGGTGTTAATACATATTAATTCTCATGCTAGTAACCATGATTATCTCAAGTATAAGAATATAGCACCTCATCATTATTGAGGACAACACTGATGACATATAACCTAGCAGTGTCCCCAAGTTGGGTCTGTCCAATGAACTTGTTCCCTAACAAGCATCTATGTTATTAACTTGATATCTCTATACCCATGACTAGTGGAATATAGCCATCAGTTAATCCACATACTGGTCTATTAATTATTAATGTCCCAAATTAATAATATTAGACCAGGGACAATTAGAATATTATGTTTATTTTAAAGTGTAGCATTCCACAATTAAGTCACATACTTAATTAGCTACTAAACAGAATATTCAGGGACTAAATATTAATAAAGAAAACTCACAATAATAATTAACATAAAATGAGTTTGCAACTTTATTAATTAATGAGCATTAAATATTTATTGATAAATCATAAACTATGATTGTCCTAGGGCATATTTCCAACAGTCTCCCACTTGCACTAGGACCAATCGTGAACAAAACGAATGCCTAATGCACTAGTATGACGTTCATGCTTTGCTTGTGGTAGTGGCTTGGTGAGCGGGTCAGCCACATTTGAATCTGTCGGTACTTTGCATATCTTGACGTCACCTCTATTGACTATTTCTCGAATGAGATGATAGCGTCTGAGTACATGCTTTGATTTCTGGTGCGATCTAGGTTCCTTGGCTTATGCAATGGCTCCATTGTTATCACAATACAAGTCCATTGGTCCAACAATGCTAGGAACCACACCGAGCTCAATGATGAACTTTCTTATCCATACCGCTTCTTTTGCTGCTTCTGAAGCAGCAATGTACTCAGCTTCTGTTGTAGAATCAGCCACCGTGTCTTGTTTAGAACTCTTCCAGCTCACTGCTCCGCCATTGAGGCAAAACACAAATCCTGACTGCGATCTAAAATCATCCTTATCGGATTGGAACCCAGCATCTGTGTAACCATTTACAATGAGCTGATCTTCACCTCCATAGACCAAGAATACATCCTTAGTTCTTCTCAAGTACTTTAGAATATTCTTGACTGCTATTCAGTGACTATCACCTGGATCTGACTGGTATCTACTAGTCATGCTTAGAGCGCAAGCTACATCAGGGCGAGTACATAACATAGCATACATGATAGAACCTATAGCAGAAGCATAAGGGACTCTATTCATCCGATCTCGCTCATCTTGTGTTTGTGGACATTGAGTCTTGCTGAGATATGTGCCATGTGACATAGGCAAGAATCCTCTCTTGGAATCTTGCATATTGAACCTATGCAGGACCTTGTCAATGTAGTTACTTTGACTTAGTCCTATTAGTTTTCTAGATCTATCTCTATAGATCTTGATCCCTAACACATAGGATGCATCACCCAAGTCTTTCATTGAGAAACACTTTCCAAGCCAAGCCTTTACAGACGAAAGCATTGGAACATCATTCCCAATGAGAAGTATGTCATCTACATATAGGACTAGGAAAGTGATTGCACTCCCACTCAATTTCTTGTATACACAAGGTTCCTCTTCGTTTTGATTGAAACCAAACTCTTTGATTGCAGCATCAAAACGAAGATTCCAACTCCGAGATGCTTGCTTCAGACCATAAATGGATCTTTTAAGCTTGCATACCTTCCCAGCATTACTTGGATGTTCAAAACCCTCAGGTTGTATCATATACACGTCCTCTTCTAGATTTCCATTTAGGAAAGCAGTTTTGACATCCATTTGCCAAATCTCATAATCAAAATGAGCGGCAATTGCTAAGAGAATCCGAATTGATTTAAGCATGGCAACTGGCGAGAATGTTTCATCATAGTCTATACCATGAATTTGTTTGTAACCTTTCGCCACTAAACGTGCTTTATACACATCTATATTGCCATCTTTATCCAATTTCTTTTTGTAGATCCATTTGCACCCAATGGTTCTACAACCATCAGGTAGATCAACCAAGTCCCAGACTTGATTATCAGCCATGGATCTCATTTCGGATTTCATGGCTTCTAGCCAACTATCGGAGTGATGGCTCGTTATTGCTTCTTGGTAGGTCAAAGGTTCATCTTCGTCAATTAATAATACGTCGCGATCCTCAGTTAAGATAAACATGTATCTAACTGGTTCGTTACGTACCCTAGATGACCTCCTTGGAGCGAGTGTTATCTCAGACGTATCCACAACAACTTGTGGCTGAGGTTGTGGGACTGCTTGCATAGTCTGACTATCT